GGGGGGGGGGTACGGCAGCCTGGGAGCCAAACATGGGCTGGAGCTGACTCACTTTGATCCTGATGCAAGGCAACATGTGACAGCCAAAAATACAACTATGTATTTTTCAGACAGAACATGTCTCTATGCTTACAGCCAGGCCAGATTTGTGAACAAAGAGTGACGAATCAACATCTGCATAGTCTCTATGCAGCCTGGCTGTAGAAGCACAGCAGTCTATGATCAAGGCCTCCCACTACTAGTACATGTGGTTATGAATCTCACCTTCAGACGATCAGAGGAAGAAGGTGAAAAAGACAGTTTGGTCACGTTTAGGCTTGCTGGTTTCAGTTTTTGGTCTTCCAATGCTCAAGTTATTAAAACTGTTTGACAAGAAAAATAATAAAATAAAATAAATTACAATACTAAGGTTACACACAAGAAAAATACGCGCGGAACAGATAGAAGAATAAAATCTCGGCGCTAGGTAGCTTAAATGAAGAGTGAAACACGCTGGATCATCTCAGTTAGATCAGTAAAGTCCGCAGCTTTCCAAAGCCCGCTTAGAAACACTGCATGACGGTAATGTTGCACCATGCTACACAGAACATGAGGAGAAATAGGAAAAAGAAAGGAGCGGGGGTGAACGTGGGAGAAAGTTAAGTTTCGTTTTCTCTTCTTGGTAAAAGTTAGGTTTCTGTTGCGGGTCATGTGACCACGCCAGTCCCCCCCCCCCTAAGGATATAAGCACTGCGCACTCTCAGAGCGAGGCAGAGGACGTTCACCGGGTGAGCTCAGGGCCTCACAATGAAATTAAACATTAAGGGAAAATTATTGACTCTGATAATCAGGAAGCGTATTCTAAATTACATATTTCGCATTCCGACTGCTATCCCCAGGCGTTTTGCCCCACCCAGCTCTTTTGATTTCCCGAAAGGTCGTGCGGCAAATAACAGAAGATTTGAGTTTACATTCCAAATGCACATCGGAACACGCTCCTTTTATTTTGAAAATCCAGGTCTCGGTTCGGTCTGGAGAGGTCAGTAGCACAGAAAGCTCCGGGTCCATCTCCAACTGCACGTCTAATTTTATTACACGTTTTTTATAATTACAATAAAAATTTGTATTATCTGCTTATTTATTCTTGTAGATGGATTTTGCCACGAGTGATAGAAACAGTGAGCCATAATAAACCCTTACGTATAAATAGATTTTACACTTTTAAAAAAAATGATACATCACATTTCTGTATATTTCGGTTCTGATCCATGTTTGGATCAATTTGTCGTCCTAAGATGGAGCAGCTGCCCTGATCAAACTCGTCATTCCCATCAAATAATCATCTCCTGTCTATGTATCTAAAAACCATTGCATGTCAGGATAGCTTTTGTAGATGAATACTTATATTTGTGGAAGTTAGTAGTCAAATACCTGCATGCAACATTTAAGTTATGTTAAATTCAAAAGCTCTCCCTCTCTTTCCTGGTTCAATGACATGAACCATGACTGATTGTGACTCCTGATCAAACCAACCAAAAACTCTGAGGAACAAATTGATGATGGACATTATTATCCGAAGGTAGTTAACAGATTTATTTGCAGTAGATCATGAGTAAAAAAACAAAAAAAACCAAACAAAAAACAGAAAATCATTTTAAATTCTTGGCTGTCAAAGCCCCCTATAAGAATAGACACTTGGTTTGCAGATATTGTACCACCAAACTATAAAATTATCAAAATTGCTAAGTGGTTAAGTAACTAGCACATGTCGTGAAAACACTGAATGAAAGTGAGACATCCAGGCAGCAGGACAGGTTGCCACTTCAGCATTTGTCCACAGCTGAGACAGATGATGGTGTCTAAGATATTAGAGGAAGCAAAAATGCAATCCAAATTGCTTTATTTATAATAAAAAAATCTGGTGATGTAGTCAAAGACGTTTCAGCTTGTAACCTGGTAAAGAACACAAGCCAAGGTGAGTTTTGACTGCAAATAAACTGCTTTTTTATGACTTTAAGAGTTGAGGGAGTCTTCACCTAAACCAGTGTTTCTCAAGCCCAGTCTTCAGGGATCGCTGCCCTTCATTTTTAAGATGCGTCTCTGCTCCAGAGCAACTTATTGAAAGTTGCTCGTCTGCATGCCATCAAAAGCTGCACAAGTCTGTTAATCAAGCACTTATTCAAGTCAGATGTGTGGTGGAAGGGAAACACATAAAAGGCAGGGCAGCAAGGCCTAAAAAGAGGGTTTGTTGACTTGCCACATCCTCAGCGAAGCTCCGAGGTTAATCTTTTGTGGTTTCTAATTAATTAAACAAAAGGTTTACTGTATTGCATCACAAACAGCATTTGTGACATAAGTGTAAAATAATTTTGTCCAAGTTTGACCCGTTCATGTAATACAAGTTTGAAACTGGATCCCATAAAGTTTTCTTATGCCAAATAACAAATGCAAAGATTTTTATTAGATTAGGACAAAGCTTACACACTCTAGGCGTCATAGGTTAGCAACGTGGGCGCCTCAAAGACAGTCATTACACTTAAATGTCATTACACTTAAATGGCTTCAAAGCAAGCGCCGGCAGTTTCAGGTTTGAGAATCAATGATTGTAATTATCAAGGAGAGTAATTCATTGGGATATTTCACAGCAACTTAATCACAATGAATTGAAATGCAATGGTTTTGAACGGCATTGTTAGTTTTAGAAAAAGTAAACAAAAGAAGAGGGGAAATGTGGGGTAATTGGCTTGAGACCAGTGTAACTTGGTGTAAATAAACGCAAATAACTTTTTACACAGGGAAACTGTAAAGTGTCTGGATAAACTAACTTACAATCAACGTATGCCGATTTATTCGTTGCTGACAATTTTATTCAAATGCACTGAGGGAATATTCTTATTGGGCAGGGGCAATTAAAATTTAACTGTATTTGTCGTTTGCATGACTTTAAAACTGAATCGAATTTAAATCTGAAATTCAAACATCTCTAAAAATAACCCTAACAAATATACACATTATATAACACAAATATTCCCTTTGATGTTTTCGTGTTGTACTAGACGCTTTTTTTCACCAAGTGTGCATAAAGTTTTCAGTTTAATACTTGAAATTCACACGCACCTACCTTTAAAACTGCCAAGACACAATAAACTGTCTGAATAAGAAAGATTAATAGGTTTTAAATTGTGGCAAAAGCAAGCAGCTGCTAAATGAACGTCGGTCCTTCTCCAAGCTAACGTTAGCCATCCTGCTAGCTCCGATTCTGCACCATTTCCGTCGCCCCGCCTGCTGCCTGTTCTCTCTTAAATGTTTGGAAACCCCCAAAGAGCCAACTACTTCTCAACAAGTCATTTGCAAACATAAACCATCTTTAAACAATTACCTGAGCTCGCCTCACTCCTCCCACTGCGGCTTGCTGTTTCAGTGAACTCCGTGACAAAAACAATCAAACAAGCGATGCGCCGAGATGCGATGCTCCGGTTTGCAACTGGAGCGAACGGCAACACCGTCGCATGTGAGTGACGTAACAGTACGGAGCAAGGTTCCAATAATCTTCTACTACGTCCTCAGCAGGCATCTCAGCCCCTCGAGATGCTCCAAGCAATATTAGAAGAATGTGTAAAATAATAATAATAATAATAATAATAATATTAAATGTGCCTTAAGTGTGATTATTTGAGCTGTCTTAGATTTTAATTGAAACGTGCAGGAAGCACACACTCTGTAAAAAAAAAAAAATATGTATACAATTTGAGCCATTAAAACGCTTTGAGAGTAACTTTTGAAAAGACTAAAAGTGAGACTACCATAAATAAAATTCTTGGGAATTACATATTAATTGATAACATCAACCACAATGCTTAATATTTACACACACACACATACAATATGTAGTGAATCCCTTTGTTTGTTATAGTCCAACATCCAAAGTGAAAAGCCACAGACACAACAGGAACATATTTTGTATGCAGCAAAAGAAGTCTGTTGTCCAAGTAAGAAGACTCCTTTTGATGGTTTATTAATCCACTGAGGCAACCCAGAATAACAATACGTTCTCACTGCTTTCTGGTACTGCTACTGCTCTTGGTCGAATTTAAGCCCAGCCTGGTGTATGCCAGTCCTTCACCTGCTTATGTATTATATATTTTTGTTATATATATATATAATCGGTATAGAACATGCATTCATACTTTTGAAAAGCATCTTTTTCACCTATTAAAATCAATGTGAAATTTATACTGATTTCTGCATTCCAATAAAATAATTGACCAGTTCAAGAGACATGCACTAACCTGCATGCATGACAATCTTTAAAAAATGAGAGAAAATTACCGGTATGTGTTTATAAAACTGATATAATTACTGCCAAATACAACATGAATGTTACAATTATATTTAGTACTATCAGTTACTTATAAATCCTTACATCAACATCTGTGTCATTTCCTGATGGACCCCATCTTTCTCTAAAATCTTGGAAAATGAAGGTAAAGTACCTAATCATTTAGACTTTCCTGCATCACGACTACCACCATTATGAAGATGGTAAATATTTTATTTTTTTTACATTGAATTGATTTGCTGAATTCTCCCTTTTATATTCACGCACAACTTTTTTCAGTACAGAGAGATAGCTGGGTTTTTTTTTTTGGAGGCACATTTGGGGACACGTTGTGAGGGTTTTGCGATTTAGCTGGACGGCAATCTTAACTTTTACTTAAAAGCTCCTTTAATGGATTATGCGCTGCAATTAAAAACTGTAGCTAGTCTAAGTCTAGATCTGTCATATAATTTCAAAAGAAGGTCAAAGATTCAACGGAAAAGACGAATTTCAAATATTTTACAGACTGTACTTACTGTCTTATCCACTTGGGGTCAGTGTTGTGTTCTGAATGAACTGATGTCAGTTTACTCTTTTTCAAAAAATTATTTTAATTACCACTTACTACTTGCAATTACTGATTCCTGCAGTAAATTTAAAACACTGGAACAAACTCAAAATACCATATATCTAAATGTATTTAAGAAGCTGTTAAGTGAAAACAGAAATTCATTATCTGATGGAAAATAAACTGATCTGGAAGGTTACTTAAAAAAAGTTAAGCAGTCTAGGAGATAGTCATCAAAGGGCTTCACGACTGAGGATCATTGGCATTCAGTTGCAGATACAGTAACTGCCATGAAGTCTGCAGAAATGAAAGCTCATGGAAGCACAAAGGACGAGTTTGACCACAGGCTAAGGTTTGCCCATCTTTGAATCTGATCGACTCCCACACAGCATCTCCCTCTTTACTGGAGTGTTCATTTCACTGCATGTCTCACCCACTCTGTGTCTGCTGCTCCCTCTTCCTTTTCTCCTCGTTTTTTTTTTTTTTTTTTTTTTTCCTCTCCCCCTGCTGACAGTACTACTAATCTCTGCCTATTTTCAGCAGGCTTTCTTTTCCCCACAGATGCCCATTTTTACACTAGTTTACCATTTATTTCCCTCCATCTCTGTTTCTCCCTCTGCAAGTCTTCCTGTGCTCATAGTGAGGAATGCAGCATGAGGCAAGCGGTGGCTTTTTGGCTGTTGATACTGGCGACTCTGCTCCGAGGTGAGTGACTTCGACCGGTGCTTTTGAGCGGGACTGTGCTTGAACAAGAGCAAGTGGGTCTTTTGGATGTAAATTTTGTACGTTCCTGTATTTGCACATGAAAAAAATGTATTCTCTGCAAGTTAGAAACAAAGTGGGTCAGAAAAGAAAATTGATTTCCTTTCATGATGAACCAGCTACACTATCATATGTCATCATCTCCACTGCAGTTTACAAGATAACACCCTGGGTTTTATATATATATACATATGTATGATATCTCTTTAAAATTGGTGGATATACATACTGTTAGCAATTTATATGCTGTATAAATATATTTCATATTGATTTACCATTGTCTTAAAATATTGTTCTAGGTGCAACAATTTCATGACATCAGTATTTACAACAATGGTTTTTGTCCCAAGCTTTTACTGTCACATTATGCTGTCAGCCCACTTCAGTGGGAAAAACTGTTTTTTTTTTTCTTAAATTGCACTCACATTTGCTACTTTTTTTTTTTTTTTGCATGTGAGTCAACATGGAGTTTCTACAGTGATTTTGCAGCTTTGCTGCCTTTTTCCCCACTTCTCATTGCCATTAGAATCCTTTGAACTAAAATGAACTTCTCTATTTTGCCCTGTGCCTCAGCGAGGCTAACTAGTGTCACGTGTAAAATGCATATTTACAGATAAAATGAAGGCTCAAAAAGAAAAAAAAAAAAAAAATGCACTCAAGCTACTTTGCTATCACACATGAAGCCATCTATGATCTACAAGGCATTGATGTTTGCATTTGCTGGAAGCTGGAATGAAGACAACATCCTCCTCAATCTCATTAAAATTCTTGTGTCAATTACATCAGGATAATACAACAAACACTTTTCGGGGCGACCAACAGCCCTTAAGTCGCTTATTTAGTAGTCCGTATGTGTTTGGCTTAATCTTGTTGTAAATCCAGCTGATCTGCAAAGGACTCAGAGGTTTGTTTGTGAACGTTAGTGAAGAGCATGAAGAATCATGAGGATTAAGGGACATAGAAAACAAGTCAGGGATAAAGTTGTGGAAAAACTGAAAGCAGGGTTGGACGATAAAACAATTCCCAAGCTTAAAACGTTTAACAGAGCAATGCTGACTTCATGATCTGAAATTCAAAATTGAACAGCACAATTCCTGACTTTCCAAAATTCAATTTGATTCTTGCATAAATTGAGAGGTGGGTGAAAGAGAACATTAACCAGAGAAGCAGCTAGAAAGACCCATATTGACTCTGGGGGAGCTGCAGAGACCCACAGTTCAGGTGGGATGGATCTGTTTACGGTTGTTGAGAATTTCCCAAATTTTTCCCCTTTCCCTTTTTCTGTTTTCACGTCTTACCTATTTTGAGTAGGACAGCAGGAAAATATGGCTTGCTAAGTATAACTAAATACTCTCATCAAATTAAATAGTAATGGATGAACAATTACTTACTTAATAGGACTCGTTTGCAGTGCCAATAATTGTGACAGCAATGACAAATATTTCAGTCAAATGTGTTTCCAGCTGAATAAACATGCTAAAATTGAAGGTTCGTTTTTTTTTTTTTTTTTAATTTCCAGTGTGAGGTTAACCACCGCAACAAAGATCAATGTATTTTAAGGCTTTGAGCGCATCATTACAAGGTGTGGTGATAAATGTGAAATGCACCACGGATGTGAAAGGTAAAGGAAATGGTAATCATGGTGGTAAATTACCTAAAGAGGAACACAGAGAGACTATTAACCTGCATACAGGCATTCCATCTGTGAAGTCGGAGTCATATTCAAGGTTCTGTTAGTGAATATAGATTTGACACCCCACAGTGAGAGAATTAATCACACACCGTTTCCAGGAGCTCTCCCACCGTGAAGTCTGGCTACAGAACAGACGTTGTACAACTATTCCTTGCTCTCTGCAGTTGTTTTTAGCATATTTAGTGCATCTCTTACGCCCACCTTTAACACATCTCCCCCAAATCAACTGGGATTACACAGCAGAGTATGAATCGAGAGTGATTTCAGGTTCTTAGCGTAGTTTTGTGGCAAAGAGAGAGAGAGAGCGCTTCCTAAGCCCTCATTGTTGTGAGTGCTGTGTGTGTCTGTCTGGGGTGTTTCAGTGTTTAATGGCCTCACTATTTCCTGAATAAAATGAAGCTGACGCTTTTATGGCAGAGGGAAGACTCCGACTGGGTCCTTGTGATCAATCAAAGACGTAATTGATTAAGAAGAGCGGGACTATTTCTGTCTTCCTACTCGTTTTTTTTTTTTTTTTTTTTCCCTGCCTGGGCGCACACTCACATTTCTATCCTCTAACTTCCTTTTCCAATGACTCTGTAGTGTTTTTTTTCTCTCCTTCCTTCCCTTATTTTGCTAAATCCATCACTATAATTGCAGTACTTACCTTCTTTTGTCAATTTTCCTTTATTTTGTGATCTGACAGACATTTTTCTCCCCTCTATCACCCCCACCCACCGCCGTCTGTCCAGGATCAGTGCAGGGTCCACACCAGCGTTATCTTCTCAAAGAACTGCTGAGGGACTACAACCCTATGGAGAGACCAGTGGCCAACGACTCCCAGGCCCTCACTGTTCACTTCTCCTTCACTCTAATACAGGTCATGGATGTGGTATGCCTCAGTAGTCCTACTTATTATTGTTATTAGCTCAGAAAACCAAGAGAAATCTAGAGGAAAAGTCAGAGCTGTTTGTATGGTTGCCAAAACATTTTATTTCATTTTACGTTAGACCTTTCAGGTGTTTGATCTGTTCATTATTTAAAGGGTTTGTGTTGTTTTTGGTCGTATTCCATCCGTTTTTAATCCACATGCTTTATGCTTTGCCTGAAAAACCTTCACACAAGCAAGCCTAGCGAGACTGCTGGACAAATGTGCTCAAAACAGGTGTTTCCTTTAATTAACACCTGATTAATTTTTCAAATACTTGGAATTCGTGCTTGGTGGCAAAGAGCCCACTCTTCTTGAATTGAAATTTGAAGCTTCTTGAGCTTTAATGCTCTTCTTGTGGATCATGCCATAGCATCTTAGTAGGGTATTAGCCCAGACTTTGAGTAGGCCACTTGAAAATCTTTATTTTGATATAATTGATCTGTTCAGAGCTGAGATTGCTGCCGCGCTTTGGATCATTGTCCTGTTGGATAACCCAAGTGCTCTTCAGCTTGGGGATGTTCTCCATCATGATCTTCTGCCAGAAATGTTCTCTATGAGTGAGTTCTTGATTCTAGAGGTCAGGCAGAACTACTAGTGAAAATAAACAAAAAAAAAAAACGTGGTTAAGAAGAGTCCAGTCATTATATAACCAATTAAGTTACACAATGTTTAAATTATACAATGAAATTATTATACTTTTATGTTAACAATAAGTCCCACTTAGTTAATAAATCGGCTTCCAAGGGACACACAGTCACAGCAACGGCAGTACAGGTCATAATTATGAAAAAATATATATATTTATATATTTATGTATAATAATAATCGGACTCCCAACAATTAAAACACATTAAACCACAGAATAATCCTTTTTTTTAACTCATGTCTCTTGGTTTGATATTAAAATTTGTTTCAGAATCTGGGGGGAAAAAAAGAGCAAAAAAAAAAAATCCAAAACAGAAGGAAAAAGAAATCTGTAAAGGTGTGAAGACTTTTAGCATCTCTGTAGCTTAAAAGAGGTCTCAGTTTGTTGAGCCCAGAGGATTTTTCTCCTCATGGTTGGAGAACATCTCAAGTGCCTCTGGCATTTTCTCAACAGGCTGCCATGCGCCTCAGGGGCAAGCAACTGCTTTTCACTGGCCACCTTATGATGAAAGCCTGATTGGTGAAGTGTTGCTTTGATTAGTGCCCTCATGTAAAGTGTTCCCACCTTGCAGAGCTCTCTTTTGTAGTGGGAATTAGCTTGTGAGCTATGCGTCAATGCAGAAGCTTTTTTTTTTTTTTTTTTAACTTAGAAATCCTTGATTTCTAAGTAAGGCTGCTGTTGAGAAGAACATTTGGAGAAGATTATAGACTTCTTACAAATGCAGAACACTGAAAGAAATTGCTTGAACGCTTTAATGACGAAGACATTTTTAGCTTGCTGCCAAGTTGTGACTTGGATGCAGGAACAATGGTTTAACCCTTACAGCGCATCAGAACTCAGCTGGAGGTGTCAAAACAAAGGTTCTAAGGTCTTCACAAGCTGGACTTTTTATCCATCCATGTCATGAATCTCAAACATTAGGCGAAGGAATTTGCCGAACCCTAAAAAAAAAAAAAAAAATCATGCTGAAATTGTCTTATTCACTTAGATGTAACAAAAAAAAAAAGATTCTGATGACGTCTCTGGGTGAATGAGTATGAGAGATTCTTTGTTGTTTTGAATGTTTTCTTTTTATTCTTCCCTTTTTAAAATGCAGAGAATAAAGAAGAGCATGTAAATTACCGACACTAGTGTATGCTGAAATCTAAATGCAAAGGACAGGCAAAGCCAACAAATGCAACATTTTAAGGCAGTCTTAAAAAAAAGTAGAATAATTTATTTATTTATTTATTTATTTTCCAATTGCAAAGTCCTTTATTATCTTATTTGCTTTGTGTCCTGCAAGGATGAGAAGAATCAGATCCTCACCACAAACGCCTGGCTGCAGATGGTGAGTATAATAGATAACATTAATAATGTGGTATCGATCTGTGTTGCAGAAAGCTTTTTTGCGGGCTGCTGCCCATTGCAGTAGTACGCTCAGTGTCATCCCGGATGCTGTTTGGCTTTCATTATCATGATAATGGGTTGCTCACAAGGATGACAGCTTCTTTCTCCTTCCCTAAACATGGCCTTATGAGAGCTCAGTGAATCTATTTTTACTTTATTCTCATGGATCAAAATCCTAATATGCACCGTAAGACTTTATAAGCATGAGCTTAAATGAAGACGATGCCCCCAGTACAGAGTGGGGGCTGACAGGAAACATGTTTCCCTCATGGGAAAACAAAAAGGACACAGAAAAAGGCTATGCAGTATGTACATAATTTAGCCAAGTCCTTTCACTTGTTTATATCATTTTGTGCTTGTGCCTCATAGCAGTGGTATGACCACTATCTCCAGTGGAACCAGTCAGAGTATCCTGGAGTCAAGAACCTCCGTTTTACCCCTGACCAGGTCTGGACCCCTGACATATTGCTCTACAACAGGTGTGGGCCTCATGCATTCGCAAAAACCCATTTAAGGCTCCTGCAGCTTGAAAATGTATGGAAATTTATTTTATTGTCATGCAAATTAGAAAAAAAAAAAACATAATACTGAGCATGTTTTTTTCCCTCCCAATACTTGATGCCTTAGTCCATTATCTTAAAGACAAACATCTAAACAAGATGAGATTTGTTTGGGGTTTGAATGGGATTGTTCCATGGCACAGGATCTTAATCAGATTCAAGTATTTGGCCACTCTGAAATCGTCATTATTTGAAAACCTTGTCCTTTCTGGCAGTAAAATTAATTTGAAGTTTGTTCGTTTGTTTTTTTTTTTTTTCACATTGGACTTTTCACATGGATTTATTTGTAATTTTTCTTAAATTTTTTTAAGGATTTCTAATATCCAGAATGTCACAAAAATGAACAAGTCTAATTATTTCACTCTAAGAAAACTCTAAGACTTTAAGAAAGGTTGCAATTTAACCCAAATTCTGCTTAAAACTTCGTCACTTTACTGTCTTTTTTTTAAAAATTATTATTATTTTTTTCAGCGCTCACGACAAGTTCGATGCCACGTTTAAGACCAACGTGCTGGTTAACTCGAGTGGCTTCTGTGAGTATCTGCCTCCAGGTAGGTCTGCACAGCCGGAGCCTCCGAATTTAACTTGTTTATTCATTCACAAAATACACTCATCCGGCAGAAAGTTAATTTAGAACAATGTCTGCTGCGTTCAGGTATTTTTTAATTTCCCCCTTCTTCCACATGACTGCCATGAGAGTTAATTATTAATCACATCCTCTCTGTGTCACATATGGGGGGGGGGGGGGGGGGGGGCTGTTACTGCGCTGTAAATCAATTTTCCTTCCTGTCTCTGAATTTTAAGGGATATTTGTCAGCACATGCAATGTGGACGTGAGATGGTTTCCATTTGACATCCAGCGCTGTGAGCTCAAGTTTGGCTCATGGACTTTTGACGGCTGGCTGCTGGACATCCAGATGAGGGAGGCAGATGTGTCGGGGTACATGCCCAACGGAGAGTGGGACCTTATGGGTACGACTGCATAGAAACTGGGCTGGAACATAATGCGTCTGTAAATATTCACAGATTAATTAAACCTGTCACAATTCAGAGTATCTTCCCACAGTTTTTTTTTATTATTATTATTATTACTAATTACAAAAGGCAGGGTTTTAAATCCTGCATGCGTCCACTGCATTTTAATTAAACATTTATATTCAGCCATATTTTTTTTTTTTGATCAATTCCGCTCCTGCGCCACATTCTTTTCTCTCGTGCCGCGCAAAAAAAAAAAAAAAAAAAACACCAAACATTTTATTAGTTGCCATCAGTCACGTTCTGCTGCAGAACAATAAAAAAATGTTGCGCCGCATCTTTTTATTTCCCTGTCTTTGCAGAGGTCCCCGGAGGTCGTAATGAGGTTTTCTACGACTGCTGCGCAGAGCCGTACCCAGACGTGACGTTTGTGGTGACGCTGCGAAGGAGAACCCTGTTCTATGCTCTCAACCTGCTCATCCCGTGCGTGCTCCTGTCCTCCATGACCCTGCTGGTCTTCCTGCTCCCCGCCAACTCGGGGGAGAAGATCAGCCTCGGTGAGATACCACAACTGGAAGGAGGAGGTGGGATGGTGTGGTGGGATGAAAAGGGACGCACTGTGGTGTGAGAGCATGGATTTAATATCTAATCTCTTCATGTCTAGCTGTGCGTACAGTGCCTTGTAAAAATGTATTTATATCCGCGAGCTTTGTCACAGTAAACCCGTGAACTTAATATAGTTTACTGGGATTTTATGTGAACAATGTGAAGTAGTGCAAAAATGGTGAAAACAACAACAAAAAAACCTGCTTCTTTTTTCCAAATTTTAATGACTAAAAAATTAGAAAAGTCTGCTGTGCATTTATATATAATTCCCTTTACTCCAAAAATAAACATGCACTCAGAAGTTAAGATAAAACTGAAAGCAAAATACAGTTTTGTTGGTAGATAATTCTGCTGTAGTGTAGAATAACTTCAAACCTTCCAAGACAAGAACGTCTAGCTATAGCATGTTGAGCAGGAAGAGGCATTTTTTTATTTTTTTTACGTTTGAAAAAACACAACACACTACTTTGTGTTGGCTTCAGAATAAAAATCCCAAATAAATATACTGCAAGGAACATGTATACCTTTGAGCTGTTTTAAAGAGTTTTTGTTCTAATCTTTCCCCAGTAACATTAAATCAGAACTTTGTATCAGTACTTTATTAAAGCAGAATGAACCAATGGAAGGAAAGTGGTGACAACGACGGAAAAGTTAAAAAGATGAACTGAGTACAACCTTTCGAGTGCCAGGAAGATGGATAAATTAGGCAGAAAATCAAACACTCGATAAATATTTCACTGTGGTCCATTCCTGTACCTCCATACTTAAAGGATGGTATTTTTTTTTCTCACTATGACTCCCTGGTGTCCTGTGTCTGCCTTCAGGCATCACCGTTCTGCTTTCTCTAACCGTCTTCATGCTGATGGTTGCAGAAAAAATGCCCGCCCCTTCCGGCTCCGTGCCCCTGATCGGTTAGTTGTTTCTGTTTTTTTTTTTTTTTTTTTTTTTTTTTGAAAACCGGGGCATCGTTTCTGGTTGTTGTTGTTTTTTTTGGTTCCGGACAGG